ACAAATGGTGCGGTAAACTAGCTTACGATTGCCCTGCTGCGAGTTTTCTATTGAAGATCCTGCAGAGTAGCTAGCTCGTGTACTTTTAAGGTCCGGCTATGGCAGTCTCCGGAGCATTCCTCGATACAATATCGATTGTTTAGACCGTGGAGACTGGTTGCAACCAGCGCATTTTCGGCAGTCCCCATCACTCGTAGCCTCTTGCAACATGTACAGATTAGAGGGTTTCGGAACAACAAAATTGATTCAGCAGTCAATGCAGCGATGGTGAATATCGGTGTGCTGTTGCTTGGTGATGCACGGAGATGCGTTCTGTTTCTCAGGGATTGACGCGGGGGTGTAAGCGCCATAAGCGGGTTGGAAGGAGCAGTGCGTCGCTCCTTCCGCAAATGCACCACAGAGCCATTCAGAGCACTTGAGGATGCAGTTGTCGAGCTAAACCATGTTGGGACAAAACACCGGACCAGGACCGTCCACCACCAACCAACCATTTGGCAACTGACCATTGACGACTGACCTCGAGTCTTGGGCTCCCAAGCAGTCGATATACAACCTCAATTCCGGAGCCGCAACCCCAACGTCGTCGGCCTGCGCCCATCGTCCATCCACCCTCGTCCCCGGAATTCACGACACCATCGCCGCCTTCTGTTGACGAAAAACACACCACTCCGATTTTGCCGTCTTCTTCTATTTTTTGCTCGTCGCTACTGACAGTGCGCGCGCGTCGCGCAGTCGCTTTCGAGCCAACCTGCCCACCACCCCCCAACCGGAGAACGCGAACATCGCGAGACGTACGAGTCAGTCGGAACATGACACTTTGAAGTGCGATCTCGAACCCATCCTCTGCACAGCACAACGAGTCGTTGTTCGCGCTTCTTTGGTGCACAAACCCATTGAGGGCCGCTTCAGTTCCTCTGCTCCTGACAAGTCGCTGGCGTTTTCTGAACCCCGGCATCTTTTACTCCTAGACCCTTCATCTTGTATCCTGGTGTCGGCCGAGTCCATGTTCAGAGTCTGATGCAGACACGGCGGATATGACCTACCGAGGCACGCTGCCTACGGGGCAGCCGGGTTTCCCAGGCCAGCAACAGCAACAGGACCATCACCAGATGTATGGCAGTCCGATGGGCGGCTACCAACACCAGGGACACTTTCAGCAGCCGCAATCCCAGCCGCCGCATCAACAAAATCATCAAGGGCTGTATGTAAATGGCATAGGAGACCAGTTCTATGGTCAGCAGCATCAAAACCAATTCGTTCAACAGCAGAGTCAATATGCGGTACATCAACAGGAGATGCTGCGAATGCAGATGGCCCGACAGCAGCAGCAGCAGCAGCAGCAACAACAGCAACAGCAGCAGTCAGCAGCGCGTTTTATGGGCGGCGGCGGCGGCGGCAGCGGCGGCGGATATCATGACTATCAAGCTATGATGAGGCAGACTCAGCATATGCATCAGCAACATTCATGGCCGCAGCCGGTGTCGCAACAGCAGCAATACGCGGGTCATCCATCTCCGAGGCCAAGTTTGACGGGAATGGCACAGACACCACAGCATGCTCAACACATGATGCAATCGCAACAGTCGCAGGCATCAGACCACATGCTGCAGAGAATGTACCAACAGCAGCAGATGCAGCAACAACAGGCGACCCAACAAATTCTTCGATCGCCGCAAATACATCAACAGCGCGTATCTCCGCAGCCGAGAGGCTCGCCGTTATTACCGTCACAAATGCAGAGGAAGCATTCACTACAAGGACAAACGGGGCAGCAGGCGATGCAATCTCCAATACAACAGCAGTTACAGCACCAGTTTCAATCGCCGCCGCCGCCGCGGATGAAATCTAGTACCCCTGTGCAAAACCAGATGCTTCTTCAACAACCTCCAACACAGTCACAGACACCACCACAACCACATCATCAACGACTTCAGCCCACGCCTACTCCTCCGCCGCCTCCCCAACAACAACCCGCTCCGGAACCTGTACAAGAGGTACAAGAACCGCCGCCTATACCTGTACCCGAGCCAGAGCCTGAGCCGGAGCCTGAGCCTGAGCCTGCTCCTGCGCCAATACTCGATGTACCAGTAGATGAGCCTCCTCTGCCTCCTGCAATTCAAGAACCCATCAACTTTGTCAACCCATTAGATATATTTAACGCGCCACCGCCTCCTCCATTACCACCTCTCCCCATGGGTGACCCCAACAGCTGGGGTAAGAAGGAACCCGACCCAGAGCCTGTGGAAGATTCTATCACCGTCAAACCATCTGAACTAACTACCACCGTGAAATCATCACCAGTGCAAGAGTCAATCACAGTGCACACTGCGGTCAAACCAGAAATGAAGCCGGAAATTAAGCAAGAACCAAAATATGAACCCATGCGCATCAAGTCTAGCCCGCACTCATCTGTTACCAATTCTCCCGCCCTCTCTACAAAATCTCCGAGTATTACCAAGCGATCCCCAGCTCCAAAACCTCGCGTCAACACGATTCCCATAATGGTCGCGATAGCTGAAGAATGTCTCGAAAAAGCCCGCAGTTCCGTACACGACGTGGCCATGTCCCTTGACCCTGAGAAGGTAGACGAATACCAAAAGTTGATAGCCACGAGTTTGTCATGTCTGGAAGCAGTCATGCAAAACAACAAGCTTGCGCCAAGAGAAGAAGCTCGATTGCGAATGAGATATGCTGCTATTTTGCACGAAGAGACGGAGAACTTGATGGAAGCGGAGACGGCCCTTGGGAAGGGTATCAGCCTCTGTGACAAGGTAGGCTAACAGAAAACTCGGGTGGGTTGGGACTTTGCTAACAGTTCAAGCACCGCTTAATCGACTTGAAAAACTGCATGCAGTATCTAATGCTGAAGGTTCTGTTTCAACGCAATCACAAGGCGGCCCTGAAAGCGGTTGACGGGCACATATCTGACTGCGAGGCGTAAGACAAACTGGCCGCTGTCATCTTGGCAAACGCTAACACTTTACAGATTCAAACACGTGCAATGGTACTACGCCTTTCGGCTGTTGAAGTCAACATTTTACATGGCCATAGGAAGCGCCTCCGACGCCGCTGCGCTGGAAAACATCCGGGCCGTCCAAAATGTTGCCACCTCCAGAGGCGACAACGCTATGACCGTTTTTGCATCAATCCTGGAAGGGCTGGCGCTCCTCAAGACTTCTAAGGATAGCAACATCGAGCGTGTGCAATCTTGCATTGCTCAAGTAGCCAAGTTCCAATTCGACCCGACTGTCAAGATTATGCAACTAGAAATGTTGACTCTGGTCTTGGACTTTGCGTCTAGTCTATACCGTCAAAGTCCCGACACGACGGCGCAGAAACTCCGATTACTGCAGCAAAAATTAGACGCATGTGAGGAATGGAATAATGTCAAGGCGGATTTTCTGATTCCTGTCAAGAAGCAGCCTTCAAATACCCGTCCTGTTAGCGAGGAAACGTCGGGCATCATTCGTCTGGCAGGCGAGGGTGACGGAGATGTTGACTTTATTGTAATGTCGTTTATGACCAAAGTAGAGCTACGGTCGCTTGTGTACGTTCCAAGAATCCAGAAGATGCGCATGATTTGCTAACTTGATTCTGCAGATTTACTTTCAGTGGACTGGCCAACATGCACAAACCTTCGTCACAAGGACGACGCTCTACCGAGTTTTGGCTAGAAGGCGCCAAGATTCTCGATACCTGTGAGCAGCAGCCGAAATGCTTTATTCGACAACTGTCCAAAGCTAACAATGTGACAGGGGACAGCTCAACCTCTGGTATTCCGTATGGGCCTTCTGTGTCGTTGTCGACAGCCATTCGACAACGATCATGGCGGACAGAAGCCCAAGCTTATCTTAATGTATTACTAGGTCTCCTGGCAGCAAGCCACTGTCAATGGGGCAAAGTGAAGCAATTCATGGAAAAACTCGAAACTCTAATTACACCATCTACACAGCTCACAATAGGGCTACTCTCCACCTATCTGACCGGCGTGTACCACCAGGGGACGGGCAACCTCGAAGCCGCTCTGGCCATCTTCCTAGAGGGACGGTTCGATATAGCCCAAACATCGGGCAGCAGCAAAGCTGGCCAGCAAGAAATTGCGCTCCTTGCTGGTCTGAACCGCCTATGGATCATGCAACACCCCAGCTGCAGAAACGACTACCAAACGCATGAGCTGATTGAGCAACTGCAGCCATTCTGCTCGAATCACTGGAACATTGACTTGCGCACTGCATGGCACAATGTCGTTGCCGCGCTGGAAACAGACCCCCCACAGCAGCTGAACCAGCAGAAGCAGCACATCCAGGCGGCCATGTCCGGGTCCAAGGTGACCAACAATATCCTGGGAGCGGCAGTCACGCTATGCATCATGCGAAGCCGGTTCTTCGAAAACGTCATCGGGGAACAGGCGCTGAAGAGTGCGCGTGCGGCGTCGAAACAAGCCCAGAGGAGCGGCAACATGTTGTGGCAGAGCGTCGCGGACGGCATGCTCGCGCAGTCGTACGAGGTCCAGGGCCACAGAGACGAATCCATTCAAGAGTGGGAGAAGGCGACAAGGGAGGCCAAGGATGCATTTGCAGGGAGTTGGTAAGGGGAGGTCGTTATTGCAGTTGTGTCACTTTTTTTTTGTGCATTAAAGGACTCGGGCGTTTTGTTGTTTGAGTTTTTTTAAAGACTTTCAACTTGTCACTTGTTTTGCTTTCTCTGTCGAGTTTGGCAAGTTGGCTGCATGGCGGGAGAAAGGGATACTAGTCTTGTTTGGCGCTGGATTTGTAAGATACCTAACGTCCATTAAGGGCCCTGCCTGTATGGTTCACTAGCATAGACGTGGAAACAATGAAACAATGTCTGTCTTGATCATGATTTTGGTTCATTCCGTTTCATGCCCTTTGGAGGTATCTGACCGTTTCCCTTGATCTAATTACATAAGTGAGCCGCTAATACTACAAAAAAGCCTGGTGATACACAAATTTATTTTCTTCTTCTCCTTCTCTCCTAGTTCAACGACGTCCGAAGCCTGGAGGAGGTTGGAATCCGGGCGGTGGCATGAACCCAGGTGGCCCTGCTCCTGGCGGTGCTTGCTGTCCCGGAGCTCCTGGAGGTGCGGCTGGGAAGCCAGGAGGTGGTGCCACGGGGTATCCTGGGGGATTTGGTGATCCAGAAGGAGGTCGGAATGCGCCGGGGTGAAAGTCGGCAGGATTGGTGTAGTTCTGACTCTGCGGCGGCCGAGCCGGGAGTCCTGTAGGCGGGGGAGGCAGAGGAACCGACGATCGAGCTTGAGAATGAGGAGGGTTGCGGTGGAAGTTTGGCGGCATCGGCGGCGGCGGCGCGTGGTGATGCGCCGCCATTGGAGGCATCGCATGGGCGCCCAACCCGGCGGGCGGGGGAGGAATCATGGCTGGGTCGAAACCGGCGGGAACAGGCGGCGGCTGCTGGCCACCCTGTGGTGGTTGATGCTGTTGATGTTGTTGCTGCTGCTGTTGCTGCTGCTGCTGAGGCGGCGCAGGCGGCGGTTGCTGAGGCTGGCTCTGCTGCGTCACAAACGCCGGCAGGGCCTGGGCCTCTGGCACAATGTTGCGTTTCTTGGCCTGCTTCGCCAGCTCTCTCTCGGCCTCGTCGCCGTGGCGCTCCCCCTTGCCGTCCTTCTTGAAGGCGTACTGCACGCTGACCTCCTTGCTGAGCATGTACTGCCCGTCCAGGTTCGCGACGGCGGCGTCGCTGCTCTCAAAGTCGCCGAAGCTGACGAAGCCGAAGCCCTTGCTCATGCCGCTGTCGTCCCTGGCCACCTTGGGCAGGCTCAGCAGCGGGCCGAAGCGGGAGAAGGTGTCGTAGAGGAGTTTCTCGTCCGCCATGGGGTCGAGGTTGCCGATGAAGAGCTCGGCGCCAATGTCGGCGCCCTTTTGCTTGTCGGCCGACGCCTTGTTCACGCGCAGCGACTTGCCGAACAGCTTGATGCCGTTCATGACGTTGGCCGCGTACTCGGCGTCCGAGGGCGTGCGGAACTCGACGAAGCCGAAGCCTTGGTGGTTCTGGGTGACGCGGTCACGCGGCATGTGGATGTTGTGGATGGGGCCCATCTGGAGCATGATTTCGTAAATGGTTGCTGTCGTGGCGCGCTCGTCAATGTTGCCTATGTAGATTGTCGCTTCTTTGTCTTGTTCCCTGGGCTGCGTGTTAGTTGATGCGTTGTGGCGGGATGGTGATGGGGAGGGAACAACGTACCAATGTCTATTTTGTGCCATTTTGACGGCGGCGAGGAAAGACGGGCCTTTCCTACCGCTTATGAAGAATTGTGCAGCTGCGTATTCGGGACTGGGGACCGTATTAGGCGCGGCGGGCGTTGTTTGTGAATTCTATATAATCGCAGGTGTGAAGCTGTAAAGCAAATGGGATCGAGAAAGTTGAGCTGGGGACTTTTGCCGAAGTTGGTCCGGGCGCAGCGATAGCGGCTCTTGCCTTTTTTTTTCTTCCTCTGCCTTGGGCGGACCCGATATTTTTCTAGGAGTGACAATAGCTCATCTGTCTTACTCGGTACTTTTTGACGATTCAGCTACGAGTGGCTTCTTGTTTTTCATTGCTCTCAAATAGATTCCGCCAAGATGTTTGCTCTGTCTGAAGAGTCCAAGGTTCGCGAGACGCTGTGTTTTTCCACGGGCCAGACGGGGGATGCTAACAGTACCAGGAGCGAATTGCCAAGCTCATTGATGTTTCGCGCGTCGCTATTCACTAGTACGTTCCTCTTTTTGTCGATTCATTCTTTGTTATGTTTCTGGGATTGATTGTACTAACAAGTTGGCAGTGGCTACCTCCCCCTGATCTTGTACCTCGGTAGGATGACCCGACGATGCGGACCAAGTCGAAAGCGAATACTTATTGTAGCAGGCTATACTCGCAGCGACCCTCGTCCTTCCATCATCCGGTACGCTTATGTGCTCTGATGCGCTTCGCTTCGTGCGCTCTTGATGCTAACTGCCCTCACAGCCTCCTGTCACCCCTTTCTTAAGCAGCGATTTTGTTTGACGGCTCAGCCGCTTGTATTACTATCCACGTTCGGGGGGCATGGAAGAGGGGAGAAAATAGAACATCTCGGCATGGATGAAGCCGCGTACATGGTCCTGCGTGCAGGGCGTTATGATAATTGCCGCCATTGTATGACGATGGACAGAGGGCAGATGTATTAAAATGGTGCATAATTGGACCGACCGCTCTTGGAATTGATACTTGTTCCACATTCACCCAACGCCGGTTTGTAAAATTGACTGTGCATTTCTCGTTTGATTCCATGCGACATGAGTGATTGGCCCCTTATGGTGTTGTGTTGTCGTGGCCGTGGTCTGGACGTAGCTCAAGTCCGAAGCTATCCGAGCTCCAACAAAAAAAAAGTTCCCACCTCAACCTTTCCAACGCTCCTGATGGCAGGTTCCATACTCTCCGTCGACAATGTAGGCAACGCGCACCCCGAAACACCCGGATACAATCTCAATCTCTATATGCGGGACCATCGCCATGGGGGTCTGTCTCCCGCCGTCGTCGAGAGCGTTGCCGGCCTCAGCGCCGGTGTGATTTCGACCTTGGTTGTGCACCCCTTGGACATAGTCAAGACGCGAATGCAGAGTTGGTCCAACCTCGCCGCCCTCCCCCTTCCTTTTTATTTTCCCGCAAAGCCCTGCTGGCTGTAGAATATATTTTTGATGCATTATATTCATTCTCATGCTAACAAGTTGACGCGGCCCAGTCCACCGCAGCGCCGGGCCACCGGCCTCGCCCCCGACAACAGTCACCATCCTGCGCTCCCTCACGTCCAACAGCCGGCCCGTCCTCTCCCTCTACCGCGGCCTCACGCCCAACCTCGTTGGAAATGCCACGTCCTGGGCGTCCTTCTTCTTCTTCAAGTCCCGCTTCGAGCGCGCCATCGCCCACGCCAACCGCCGCGTCCGCCCCTCGGCGGCAGACTACTTCCTGGCCTCTGCCCTCGCCGGCGCCTCGACCTCGGTGCTCACCAACCCCATCTGGGTGCTCAAGACGCGCATGCTCTCGTCGGACAAGGGCTCCGCGGGCGCCTACCCCTCCATGCTGGCCGGCGCGCGGACGATCCTGCGCACCGAGGGCGTGCGCGGCTTCTACAGAGGCCTTGCCGTCTCGCTGCTGGGCGTCTCCCACGGCGCCGTCCAGTTCGCCGTGTACGAGCCCGCCAAGAGGGTGTACTTTAACAACCGCGTCGCCGAGGGGGACGTGAACCCGCGGCTGACCAACGAGGCTACCGTTGTGATATCCAGCGTGGCCAAGCTGGTGGCCGGCGCGGTGACGTACCCGTATCAGGTTCTGCGGAGCAGGATGCAGAATTACCGCGCCGACGAGAGGTTTGGGAGGGGAATCAGAGGCGTCGCGAGGAGGATCTGGATGGAAGAGGGCGTGGTTGGGTTTTACAGGGGGTTGGTGCCCGGCGTGGTGAGGGTGATGCCGGCTACGTGGGTGACGTTTTTGGTTTACGAGAATGTGAGGTACTATTTGCCGGCGTGGATGGCGTAGAGTTGCACGGGGTTGGCCGTGGGTTTCGGCTCGGTTCGCTCTGGGATAGATGGTCATGGATTGGCGTTTTCGGCGGGGGATTTGCATAGCGGTTTGTTTGCACCGGATAGACTGTCCAGATACCTGGCCAAGCGGGACATACCCAAGTCTTTTTGCTTCTTGCTATAATCATGATGACTCTACGAGACGGTTCAGTCCTTGGACCCTGGACTGCCGACTGCATGCGGTGTGTTGGTCGCTCAGTCTCCAAGTACAGTCAAGTAAGTTTGAGAATCTTGGCTTTGAGGCAAGACGGAGGGAGGGAGAGACGGTGGATAATCAGCTCATAGAATCCAAGGTGATGGGTGAGAAGTCCAAGAGTATACTTAATATATCCGTCTTGTTTTGCCTTGGTCTCTCCCTCTACTTGGCCCCAGGAGAGAGCTAGCCAAAGCAAAGAGTCAGAGGCACATGACTACTTTGCAGACAGAGAGACGATAGGCATAGCTTCTAAAAACTAACTTGGTAGCGCTACATCTCTTGCCTATTCGTAGTCGTTTTAGTCCGTTGTCTTGTCGAAAGCCGCGGGCTCGAGTCCTCATCTTCACTCGCAAAGAAGGCAGTGGCGTCGGTTTACCTGGTATCGTATTTGCACATCATTAATGCAAATAACAACATGGCATGGCTGACCGTTTGCAGACTAACAAGGCACCAAGTGAAGAAGCCCACTTTACTCGGTGAATTCGGTCCAAAGTCCATGATGCATCGAGAGTGGAGTCTTGCCGGTTACTCCGTATGTTTTTGATCATTTGGACGATTCCAAGGTTTGGGTGAGACGGATCGCTTTCTTCATTGGTCAAACCTCCATTTCATCCGTTCGTTGTGTCCCTCGTTTCTTTTGCCACGCCTTGGTGGTGAGTTGCGGGCGCCTTGTGGTCAATTCGCTTCAAAAAAGACCAGCAAAGGTGAGTCTTCGAATTCCATTGCCGACCAACAGCCATGCCTGTGAGACACACCAGCAAGAAGACTCTTCAAACGTTCCGCCTCTAACCAAGCTTCAGACGAGCGGCACATGTTGGCTGGGCAAGGATAAACCCGGCCACAGAACCAGCCCCCGCGCCGTCGCTCGGCATCAGGTTATTTATCCCCATGGAGCTGAGGAGGCGGGCCGCAGCGCAGCCACTCATATTGTAGGGAATGCTGTTGCCTATATCCGGGAGCCGATGGTTGTCTTGGTCTTGTCCCGGATGGCGTTTATCTCGTCCCGGCGCCACGTTGGGGAGTTGCCAGAGGTGTTCTCGCATGAGACCAACCACACCAGCAACAAAGGCATTCGAGAGTTCCCCGGGCGGGCATGTCTCAGATTGGCTTTTAAGCTCGAGACAAGGTTGGACCACAAACTACAACATCACTCACACGGCGACACCTCGGGATGCCTCACAGAGCACTTCCCCCCGAGGCCACGAGGCTGCGAAACAGCGGGTCAACCCAGGCTCAAAGTTGCCATGATCTACGGCGACGGGCTGGGAAGTAAGAGCCATCCATGCAGTCATGTGGAGGGAGCTCGAGCAATCAATTCCATACTCGAGTCTGGTGCTGACCGGTGGAGACGATATCAACTCATAAACTCCACCTCCGCAATGTTTGATCGACTGACAGGACGTATTAGTTGGGAAACTAGGATCCAACAGTGCTGACAAGCGCGCTCAATAGCTCTTGTAGAGCCAACGGCCGTGCCCCCTTGCTAGACTGACGTCAACGGGCATTGGTGAAGGCAAAGCGTGGTGTTCACCGTGTATGTGACAGGCCGATGATTGCTGCGTCTTTGCAAGGGGGGCAAAGGCTCGCCGTCTTGTGCCCGGTGTAGACGATGCCATGTGGTTGATAAGTAGCGAGCAGCACCTCGCCGCGATTCTTGTTCACCCTTGGAAGTTGAAACCTCGCCCCCGAGACTCCCAAGCCCTCAATTGTGTGTGTCAAACCTCTCACACAGTCCGCCATGGAGAAGAAAGCGTCTGCTGAACCGCCGGGCTACACGGAGCCTGTCTTGCACCACGACGAGCAACAGGGTCGCCGGGGGTCTGCCGCTCTCAACATCATTGAGAATCCGCTCAAGGTAGGCAAACTCTCCTCCCTGGTCTACTGGCACGTATGATGCGACTAACACGGCCCGTCGTAGCGCAAATCAGAAGACGACAACGTCCGCGATGCCAGGGCCTTTGCCGAGACACACGGCATGTCTGAGCACGCCGGGCTCTTTGGCCGCGCCGCCCTGGTGGCCCGCGATCCGCAGAGGTTCGAGATGATTTCGGAACTCGACGAGGAAGAGCGCGGCGCCCTGCAGTACGAGAGAGACCACAAGTGGCATGGGCCCTTTATGCTGTGGTACTCGATCGGCCTCTGTGCCGTCGGGGCGGCGACCCAGGGATGGGATCAGACCGGTGCCAATGGCGCCAACTTGTCCTTTCCCCAGGAATTTGGCATTGCCGGCGAGGGCAGAGACGAATGGATCGTCGGGCTGGTCAACTCCATCATCTTCCTCACCGCCGGCCTCATGTACGTGCTCCTCCTCCACGGCTTCAATGTCACTACTGACCAACGCGACCTCGCTCTGCAGCGGCGCCTTCATCGTAGATCCGCTGAACCACTATCTGGGCCGCAGAGGCGAAATCTTCCTCACGGCCGCCTGTCTCACGGCAACGCCCATCGGGTCTGCCTTTGCCAAGTCGTGGCAGGGCCTCTTCGCCGCGAGGTTCGTCATGGGCATCGGCATCGGCGCCAAGAACGCCACGGTGCCCATCTACTCGGCCGAGATGGCCCCGGCCAGGACTCGCGGCGCCCTCGTCATGTTCTGGCAGCTCTGGGTCGTGGCCGGTACGTCTTGCTCTGCGCCCGTTGTTGTTGTCGTCGCCGCCACGCGTGACCAACCAAGTTGCTAACACTCCCTTTTGCCCGCAGGCATCTTCCTGGGCTTCGCGGCCAACGTCATTGTCAAGGACGTGGGCGACAACGCCTGGCGCCTGCAGTTCGGCTCGGCCTTCATCCCGTCCTTTGTCCTCATGTTGGGCATCTTCTTCTGCCCCGAGTCGCCGCGGTGGCTCATGAAGCACGGCAAGCACGACGAGGGGTTCCGCTCCATGCTGCGTCTCCGAGCCCATCCCATCATTGCGGCGAGGGACTTTTACTACTCCCACGTCATCTACGAGGAGGAGAAGAAGGAGGCCCGTGGCGCTGGCTACTTCTCCCGCTTGTGGGACTGCTTTGCTGTTCCTCGGATCCGGCGCGCAAACTATGGTGCCTCTACCGTCATGATAGCGCAGCAAATGTGTGGAATCAACAGTTCGTTTGCTTTCCCCCTTTGGTTGGAGGCGGAAAACTGACAATCGCTCGTCTAGTCATCTCCTTCTACAGCTCATCCATCTTTGAGAGCGTCGGCTACTCGGCCACCGAGGCATTGTACGCGTCCCTCGGATACGGAGCTGTCCAAGTCGTGGCCACCATTCCTACTCTCTTCCTTATTGATACCAAGGGGCGAAGGACCCTGACCATGATCGTATGTCCCCTCATAAACTCGTGGCGGAATAAGAAAAATGTTTTTTTTTTTTTCGCGCTGACATTCCCTCGAAAAGACCTTTCCTCTCATGTGTATATTCCTCCTGGCTGCCGGCCTTTCGCTGCTCCCCAATGGTGCTTACCATATTACTGCTCAAGGCGATCAGAACCCTGCCGGCGACATGAGATCCCGCGGGGCGAGAATCGGACCTGTCGTGTTGTAAGAATCCCACAACCCTTCGACAGATAACTTGGCTAGTGGCTGTGAATCCTTCTGACCGGGTCCTTGAATCACCTAGGTTCGTCTACCTGTTTACTATTTGCTACTCCCTGGGTGAGGGACCAGTTGCCTTCCAGTACTCGGCCGAGGTCTTTCCCACGATTCAGCGTGAGCAGGGAATGGCTTGGGCTGTCTGCATCAACAACACCTTTGGTGAGTTTTACTCCCCTGGTACAACTTGACAATACATTGCTTGTGTTAATGAATTTTCGTTTCTTTGGCAGCTGGTATCCTTGGCTTGACTTTCCCGCGGATGAAAACCGTCATGACGTCCACCGGTGCATGTAAGTGGACTGCCGAGATGTTTCCTTTCTGGCACAGGTACTAGTATCTCTAACCTCTATCTTACAGTTGGTTTCTACGCTGGCCTCAACCTTGTTGCTTGGGTCATGATATTCTGCTTCGTGCGGGAAACCAAACAACTAACTCTGGAAGAGCTGGACCGTAAGTAATGCCTACTTGTTCATAGTTGTAGATGACACTAACACGGCGCGCAGAGGTCTTTTCGGTCCCGACCAAGAAATTCATACATTACGAGGCCACCGTGTGGCTTCCGTGGTTTATCAAGCGATATGTCTTCTTCCAGAAGATCCCTCGCCCTCCTCCCCTCATCGAGAAGGCGGAAAGGGACGGTGCCATCAAGGACGCGTAGGAGCCGTTGCGCTCTCCCAGCAACCTACACTGCCATCATGACGCCGGCCCTCCATTATAAATGGCATTTTTTGGAGATTTAATTCCACTGTTGAAAACTAGATGTGCGTTTTTCGTCTGGTCGCTAAATAAATTCAAAGAAGCCCCCCGTACAGATATAAGGGCTGCACGATGTTTTAGGCATAGCTTTTATACATATACCCTCGTTTAAATGTCTCATACCGGTGCTTACCAGTTATTATTGCTTGGTATATAGGCATTCCGCGTGAACCCATCGGGAGTGACTCCGACCGTGCCATTGCATGTAGTCCCAGGGGGCATATTGAGCTCAAGACGGGTGGTCTGGTCGAGAAATGGAGAATGTATGAGGATTTTGCTTCGTCATACACAACAGTACTACCCGACAAGTTCGTCACAAAGTTGCAATATTTGTTGCCGTTGACCAAAGATGTCGGGCCAACCAAAGTTCGGATGACGCGATAATCTCACACACGTCTTGTCAGCCAGTCTTCCAACATGAACCAACTCCCACGCGCAGCGGCACAGCGTAGTACGAATCTGCAAGCAGCCAGCACCATCATGACCCCCAACGCAAACACAGTCTATGTCATCACAGGCGGAAATAGAGGCATCGGCCTCGGGCTAGTCAAGGCGCTCCTGGCCCGTCCGTCCACCAGCGTCATTGCCACCGTTCGAAACGACGAGGCCGCCAGAGACCTCGGGGAGGAGATTGCCGCTGCGGCTGGGGTAGGAGACGGAAGCGGCCTGGACATGATCACGCTCGACTTGTCCCGCGCCCCCTCGCCCGAGCAAGTAGGCCAGGCCGTCGCCGACCTGGGCCACGATCATGTCGACGTGCTCATCAACAATGCCGGCATGTCAAGCCCCATGGTCCCTGCGGCGCAGACGGCGGCGGACGACCTCCGCGCCGCGTTCGAGGTCAATTCCATTGCGCCCCTGATGGTATTCCAAGGGTTGTGGCCGATGCTGCAAAAGTCGGCTCGCCCCAAGGTCGTCATGATGACGTCCTCGGTCGGCTGCATCACGCTTCAAGAGCTGTCCGGGGGCTCTTACGGCCCCAGCAAGGCGGCCCTGAATTGGATCACCCGTGCTCTTCATCTTCAGAATGAGGAGTCTGGCCTGGTGGCGGTGGCCCTGCACCCGGGCTGGGTCCAGACGGGCATGGGAGAACAGGCGGCACGGGATTGGGGGTATACTCAGCAGCCGCCAGAGACGGTGCAAGCGAGCGTCATGGGCATCCTCGAGGTTGTCGACGGCGCTACTCGAGACACGGTGTCGGGCACGATGGTCACTTTTCAGGGCCAGGTGCTGCCTTGGTAGAGAAAGGTCGGAGGCGATTTCACGATGTGACATGGAGGTTGTGAGGGATCGACTGGTGGGTTCGAATCAGAGCTGGAAGGATTTTTATTTATTTTATTGATATTTTATTATAATATAAAAATTTTACCGCATGGATGCCTCGGTGAATGGTGCCTGTCGGCGCCCTGACTTGGGATAAAATCCTTGCACGCTGCTCTGTTGTTGGCCAATAAAACAAATACGCGAATCGAGACTCGATTGTGCAACCTCACCGCTTCGGCCACGCTGCACCAACTGGCAAAACACCACACATTGTGGTCTCGACCATTCGAACCAGACATTCACTCACCATTCCTGGGCTCTCCGCAGCCATTGCGAACCGCCATGGCATGCCTCGAGGCACTGCCGGCCGAGGTGCTGTACGAAATTGCCGAATGGCTGGTCTGGGACTTCAAACCGCCGTCCGACGGGCGCAAGTTCAGAGGCCCGTCATACGCTCGGCACCATGCAGCCCTGGCCAGGAGTTGCCGTCGTCTGTATAGCATCCTCAATCCGCAGCTGTACAAACGTAATATCCAGCAAGACGCCGTCCTCAACTCGTGCGTGCTGTGGGCGGCCGCGCGCGGCCTCCTGGGCACCATCAAGATTGCTCACGGGCTGGGAGCAGACCTCGACCTTCTTGGACCTCAAAGCCGCGACTTCCGAGAAAAGGGCTGGAACGGCATCGGTGCCCCGCGCGGCGATGCATCGACACCTCTCCATGTCGCCGTCGAGAACGACCATCTCGACATTGTCGAGTACCTCCTCGAGCATGGCGCCGCCGTTCATATATCCGCCGACGGCTGCTGCCTTTGCCACTATCACGTCGGGGCATATGCCCTCCACATGGCCCTCAAGCACAGCAGAAAGCCCAAGGAAACTGCGGCAATGCTGATTCGGCACGGGGCCTACCTGGTCAGCGGCAACACTCCGGCGGCCGGCATCGTGAGCAGGATGGGCCACCATGACCTCTTCCAGCTCTTGGTCGAGCAAGGCCGTCCAGAATCAACCAAGGCTGCGCTGGATCACTCGCTAAGAAGCCGCAACGTGCCGCTCTTTCAGGATCTCCTCCGACGCCCGGGCCTAGACCTCTCCCCGCCGCCGTCAAGCTACCCGTCGCTCTTGGGGCTGGCCGTCTACATGGGCCTCACCGACGCCGTGCGTGCCTTGCTTAGCCGCTCTGACGTAGATCCCACAAATCTTCACGAGAGCGAACATTCTCCTCTGCAGGAGGCCGCACAAGGAGGGCATGTGGGTGCCCTGCACGCTCTTCTCACCATGAGGCCCGGTATAGACGTCAACGCAACCGACGACAAGGGCCGCTCCCCGCTCCATCACGCAGCCGATTATGGCCATGTTGAGGTTCTCAAGGCTCTCACACAGTACCCAGATGTGAAAGTAGGCGTGAGGGACAAGGATGGTCAAACACCGCTACACCTGGCCGCGTACGGTGGCAAATACGACGCTGTTCGCTTCCTGATCAAGCATCCAGGGGTCCAGCCCTTGGCTGTAGATGCCGCGGGCCTGAACGTCTTGCATTGTCTAGCAATAGGAGATTTAACGAGGAGGAAGCTGGAGCTGCTGAAGGAGGAGGACGACGACGACGACGACGACGACGATAACGATGATGGATATCATTGGAGTAATGATCTTGGTCATGGATATTATTACGATTTCAAAGATGAGCATGAAAGCAGTAGTAAGAGTAGCAATGAGGGTGGCGAAGACAAGAACAAGGAAGCATCACCCGACGCCGACGAGGTTAAAGAAGCAGAACAGACCATCAGGGAGCTCATAAGCATTGGCATTCCCATTGACCAGGAAGCGCCGACATCCGAGACGGCTCTTCGCATAGCCATACGCCGCCTCAACTTCCCCATGGCTATAGCCCTGCTCGCCTGTGGGTGCGACCACACCATCGGCTTTGAAGAACCGTCAGGATGGACCCTGCTGCACGAATGCCTCAAGCTTCCCTGCCGCAAGCTTCCCGCCAAACAAAGCATGCAAACAGAACTGGTGAAGCAGCTAGTGGGTCGAGGCGTGAACATCGAGGCGGCCTACAGTTACGACCCAGATTTCGTTCTCATGGATATGGAGGAGAGGGACATGCTCGTGAACGAGAGTGCCACGCCGCTCTACTGCGCAGCCGCCCTCGCCCACAACACAAGGAGCATGGAGGTGCTTCTGGAGGCAGGAGCCGACCCCAACGCCGAGATTTACCGTTTTGGCCGCTACTCTGAGCCGTTGCTCACGGCCCTCTACCCCAAGCTGCGCTACAACCCGAGACAGCCATTCAGCGTGTTTGGGGTTCTCGTCAAGCACGGCGCGAAGCTGGACGAGGCGGGCGGCGAGGGCAAAACGGCCCTGGAGGCGGCGATTGACTGCCCCAAAGCTGCGAAGGAGATGTTGTTGCATGCGACGAGCGAGAACATATGTCGCGAGCATGTGCAGAGCGTTATTGATGATCTTTCTAGCCGTAAAAAAAGTCGCAACGGGCTGGAATTGCTTGGAGACTTGAAGGACTTCCGGAACAGGGTATTTGGTGGGGAGTGAAGAAGTCGCCAGCTATAGGTATGTCTTTGGGTCCATTGGCTGTTGAATGCTGCTCACGGCATGTCTGCCGATGCGTCATTCGGCAGTTGATCGGGCAAGGGCGGTCAAAGGGTCAACGGGTGTTGTAGATGTTAGCCGCCGCTAGAAAGATGATTTCGTCTAGATAGTCGGTGTCAATCTCGATCGTCGTGACCAAAGGCTCTCTTTCAAATACCCCATGACCAGTGACATGCACTCCTGTTGGACCTGCGCTTGCCGACATGCCGAACACCGATGTGTGGAAGCAGACGGCATCGAGGTGACGTTGGAAAGAGGCGTGACGAGTCGGCTCCAGCCCCGCGCCGCTTCTCCCAACATGGGATGGGCGCCCGGACTCGGAGCTGCGGAGAGCGGAATGGTCCCTCTCGTCCACATCGCGCGCGGTGTGGCCAGCGTTGACCAATGAGCCGCGAGTCGGTCGCCTAGAGTGTCGTGGTGGGTGTCGAATTCGGCAGCTCAACGGAGAAAATCCACAAATTCACCGCCAGAGGCCCTGAAACGCTGCGCCCAAGGCCCAAGCCAGAGCCCGCTAACATTGACTAGCATCTTGCACCACGTCGGAGTCACAATCGGACCATCGTGCGTATATCTAGCTAGTTGTTCCACACATCCAGGCGTATGAATGGGTTGGGCTGGTGCGAAGTTGCATTTGCTTCTTTTCTATTTTCTATTTCCTATTACTCTCCATCCGGATTGAATACTATCGACGGCTTTCATCTCTTACACACCTGCTGGAATCGACGGCATGGCAGCGATTGTTGGTCATGGCTTCAAGCCGTGGATATCGCGGCCAGACACGAACGGCGTCATTGGGGTGTGTATTGCATTAGCATTAATCACGGCCATTTACAAGTTTGTTCGTACTTTGCATATTTTGCGTGCTGAACAAGCAGGCGGTCAAGGAACAATGCTTACGCCTACCAGATTGCCAAGTCATGGACAGCAACGGAGCCGCAAGCCAACATCGATGCCAAACCGGGGGAGATGCCAGCTCGACACGACGAAACGCCCAGTTTGGTCGTTGAGCCTTTGGAGAAGTTCGATTGGCAGGCAACAGAGCCCACCATATACCTGCCCATCAAGCCGGTGTACCACATCACCATGGGTGAGTTCGCTCCCTCAGCCATCCAACATGACAAGAGTTCCCGCTAAAGCGAGGACACAGCTCTTCAACAAGACACGCCCTCGAGGCTCATCACCATCGACAGAGACTACCTAGACAGGGTGACCCTTCGGCGTAGTCTCATTGACGAAAAGGGCCACGCAGTCCACGGATACCTGCCCCGAGGCAAAGAGTCCGTGGCCGAGCTGTACACGTACCTCTTGCGAGACTACTTGCCCGCCCGGTACCCCACAATGTTCAGAATAGGCCCGGACGGGACCGTTTTCGAAAACACGGTAACGGGTAGAACATTCCCCATCCAACCGCCGGAAGATGCAGACGCTGCCCTTCGAACACTGGGAGAGACAGTCGAGGAGGATCTGTTCCTCTTGCATGAAACATCCGGCGGTCATCTCTGCGTGGCCTTCATGTGCTGTTTCCCGTCCGGGTTTGATCCGTCCGAGAAGTTCGGCAACTTACTCAAGGACATACACGCTCCCGTCCCGTCTTACTCCAAGATTGGCACGAGTATGGAGCGATTTTTCAGCAAGCTTCAGGTGGGGAAAAGCGTGAAGCGGTTAAATGTACGTCTTTCTTACCGTCAAACGGAGATGGGGCCCCCGCTTTGTCCTAAGCAGTCTTTTAACAATTCCTCGCCAGTGGTCCGTTCAAACCAATAACGAGCTGTATACGCTGGGAAACCACATCAAAGACGACGCGGCGGAGGTTGTTTCGGAAGACAGCATAGATGTGAACCAGGTAACGTTGGGACGCACCGCGTGCAAAGAGTATTCCAGCTGACTTTCGGCAGACATATCTCCGCGTGGAGCTCCAAACCTTGACGCGGCTGCCCAGGACGCAAGCCGTCTTGTTCTCGTTCAAGACGTACCTGTACGGTATTCGACAAATCAGAGAGCAGGGGTCAGGCCCAGAGCTGGCCGATGCTATTGAGGGCTTGAAGTCGGGGAATGCACCGGGCATGTGGAGGTACAAATCGGCAGTTCGATGGGGGAAGCCGGTTTGCGACTATTTGCGGTCATGACGAAGACGGGTACAGACCAAAAACGCGTAGTGTAAACGGTCAGAATCGCCAAACGCCATCAAGGCCGGGCAGGGGGCCGGATCTAGGCGCGGCTCAGTGGCGCAGGATTAGCAGGGGAGCACTCTGAGCTAGGTACTTAACCTGGCCAAAGACGTCAGTACATGAGCTTGAACCATGGCGCCTGGGAGTTACGTACCTGTAGAGTGACATGGCATGACGCTCCGTGCAACAGGCACCCATCACCTTGCTTCTTCTTTGACTTTGCTGTGAAACTTGTGTGAGCATGACACACGCCCAACGTCGTTGAACACGTCCTTCTCGATGCCCACGTGACGAGGCTGCCGCTCGATTGTCTCAATTCGGTTCTGCCATTGGCTAAGGCGGCTGTAGCTGTGGCGTCGGTGTGGCTCGGGCGACTCCTGTGTGCTTTAATTGGCAACCCCACACACTCGAGCTCGGTCAGTCCGCTGTAGCCTCGCAGGTGCCAGCCACAAAGGCCAACTGGTACACTCGCAGTCTCTTCTATGTGCGATATCTGTTCGGCACGGCAAGCGCGACCTCCGCCCTCGTGCTCGTTCACAACCGCAGCCGCAGCCGCCTCCACGACGTCTTCACGTCTTCACGTCCTCTACGCCCTCCCCTCACTCGCCTCGCAGACCAACGTCCGCATTGTCCCAACTACTAATTTAACCCATCTGATTTTTTTTTCTCCTTCCAACTTGGTCATTTCTCATTCGCCCTGCTCCTCTCACCCTCTTATACCTATACCGTCTGCGCAAGCCAAGATACCCAATTGCCCTTTGTCGAACGATCGACGCTTTCAGCGTCCCCATTCAGCGTCCCCATCAAGCCCGTCAAGCCGTCTGAACACCGATCCTGCCCATCGCGAAGCCTTTCCGATAAATTATACCAGTGATTTTTTATCTGCCGTCATCGAATTCCACCAGCGACATCCACACCCACGTTCGTTAATAGCTGGCTGGTCAACTTTTACGTCCTCTGTTCTCCGCATCACGAGTGTTGGTTGCAAAGCCTAACGGGTGGGACTACGAAGCCTTAGCGGCGGACTATGCTCTGACAGTTTGAATTCTTTGCAACAGACGTCTTCTTTCTGGCTTGCTTAGGGCCCTGCCACTTTTCTTCTTCTTTTTTAGATCCTTCCGCCTGCCCGCGCGTGCGATTCGATTCGAAGAAATCAGCATCGGTAGCCGTCGCTGACAATCATGTCTGCTCCTTGTACGTTGTCATCTCTGCACTATATCTTGAAGCCCTCTTTTAACAGTATGCTCCTTGCAGTGACTCCCGATGAGCAGGGACGCTATACCGAGATCATCGATGATATCTTGGCGACTGCAGATCTCGAGACTATTTCTCGTAAAAAGGTCCGGCAAGCGTTGGAGGGCCGACTTGGCGGCAAAGACTTGAGCGAACAGAAGGTGCGAGTTGATCATAAGTGCCTGCTTCTGCAATGCGCTCGTGCTGGTGGGGTAGTGTGGGTGTGAGTTTGACGGCGCACTAACGGGATGCAGGAGGCGATTAAGCGTCTAATCGAAGCTCGTTTCGATGCTGTCTCTGGGGCTGATGTTGAAGATGTCCCAGAGCCATCGCCTCATAAGCGGTCTAATGGTGTCTCAGTCTACGACGAGACCGACCCTTCTGCCTCGCCGGAGCCAGCAAAGAAGAAGGCGAAGCGAGCGTCCTCGTCTGAAGACGCGGATGCGCGCCTAGCTGCCCAGCTTCAGGCTCAAGAGAATAGCTTGGCCCGTGGACGAACCACCCGTGGAGGTGGTGACCGGGCTGTGAAGAAGCGAAAAGCGCCACGCAAGAAGAGCTCCAAAAAGGTCCGCGACGATGATGATAGCGATGTGAACGGCAGCGGAGAGTCTGGCGTAAAGAAGCGCAAGGCCGGTGGTGGTTTCCAGAAACCATTTAATCTAAGCTCTACGCTGTCTGACATTTGTGGCGAGACGCAAGTAAGCAGCGCATCAACCATTTGCCCTAAATTGAGCCAACTAACAAATACAGCTCTCCCGCCCGCAAGTCGTCAAAAAACTTTGGGAACACATCAAGGCCAACGACCTTCAAGATCCGGCAGACAAACGACAAATCCGGTGCGACGCCAAGATGCAGGCTGTGTTCAAACAAGCCAGGGTGGACATGTTCAAGATGAACAAAGAGATTGGCAACCATCTTTATCCAGTCGGGGAGGAGTAACTGAATACAGTCACGACTTCGCAAGCACGTTACAATCCACAACAGCAAAAAAGAATATCACGGTATCGGCGCCTCGAGGAGTATCCGGACAACATGGACGTTTTCTCGTCCTTGAGCTTTTATTTTTTTTAAACTTTTTGTGATTTTGGTTTGATTGGCTTTAGTTATCATCAAGTCATTTTTATGCCTTATTTTGTCTGCTTTCATATTTGGGCCGGCAGCATGGGATGGCGAGGAATAGGATTTGAGGGTGTGTTTCATACTCCATATGGGCCCATGTCTCAATTTGGGAATGCCTAGTAACGAGAGATGGGTATTGTGACAGAGGCTTGAAAGGCCGGTGCTGTAGAGGGAAGGGTGAGGTGGGGAGCGGTGGAGGATGGAACATGTTGAACATGATATCAATTAGAGGACATGAGGTTCTTTGAAGAGGAAGCCGATAGGATAGTTTGGTAGTTTGGCTACGGCTGAATTACGGGACACCGTTGACCCATGTCTATTTGAAGAATAAACATGTTAATAATGTTCTCGGCATGCTTGTAAAGTTGTAGTGTTACCCTACACCCAAATGGATAAAGGGCGGCCGACGGGCTAGCCACGTAGCAGAGTACAATGTACGTTAAAGAACTTATCGACAGCGTCTACATTTTAACTTTAAATTGAACATGGATTATTTTATTTTGTCTAGTAGTGTATTGTGATCCAGGCAGGATACTGAGGGAATTTGACATGGAACATGCATGGACTGCGACTTTACCAGTTATCCCCCGGCACACACATATATATATATATAGGCCACGATTTAGGAAATTTAGAACTTCTCAGAGATCAATATTCATAGCTAAAACTAAAAGTAAAAAGTAACAAAAAAAAAGATGTGCCGCAGCGAGGACTCGAACCTCGGTTTCCAGTGATTTCGTGCTCGACGAACCACAAACTGGTGTCCTTACCCCTAGACGACTGCGGCTAGTGGGTCTGATGATGTCGGTGTTTGCCCGGTAAATTAGATTATGTACTCTGTATGGAGTGCTCCGTATCTGGACAGCTTGGGCTAGGCCTCGCTTGGCTCCCTTGGCAGCTGGAAGGTGCTTCCCGGCTGACTCACAAACGGGGCGTCAATTAAACGGAAGTTCGCCCCTCGTTTGTGCGACGGAGCGTTTGGCTCAGCACTTGACCTATTGGCGGCTTTGGCGGCGCCAGTGATGCTGACCTGCCCCTCCAATTGGCACCCCGAGCACTCGAAGCACCGTCATAAATCGACGACTCCAGACACATGTGCAGAAAATTACCAAGCATTCCATCGCCCTAGGTCCCTCGAGCATGGTACCAACATTACTCATCACGGCGCATCTTTTCACTGACGAAGCGTACATGAACGTCTCGTTTGCTCATCTCCCTTCCGTTATCCACATTCATCTGAACAAACGCCACGTTGCGTGAAAAAAAAAAGACGAACAAAAAACCTAAAATCTCCCCTACCAGTCGACACCTTCTCGAGAGAAATAACCTCCCCAGTCAACAACATTTCGCCGTACATTTTCGCATTGGAAACGAACTCGTACCCACCACTGGCTATGCCTGCTACCGAGGGCGCACCTCAATCCGGCCGCGACGAGGGCTCTAGAGGACGAGGGCGTGGCCGTGGACGAGGCAGCGGCGGGCGTGGAAGACGAGGCCGAGGAGGAAATGCTCAAACCGCAGTCAATGCCACTCCCGCCAACCCAGCAGCCCAGCACGTTGCCGCCGCCGCAGCAGCAGCAAGAGTTCAGCTCCTGAAGCAGCAGAGCCAGACTGCTGACGCCAACGCTGGCGTGCCGACTCCTGCGACCCCGGCTGACGCTGACGATGATGCCGACATCTGCTTTATTTGTGCCAATCCGGTTGCCCACCATTCTATTGCTCCTTGCAATCATGCGACCTGTCATATCTGTGGTTTGCGGATGAGGGCCCTTTATAAGACGAAGGACTGCGCCCATTGCCGAGTACGCTATGCTCCTCTCCGTTGATCGATGTGAATTGAACCACATGCTAACCTACATGTCTTAGACCCCAGCCCCCTTTGTCATCTTCACAGATGACACTGCAAAGCGCTTCGAGGATTACACCGACAAGGACATCACCACCACGGACTCCAACATCGGCATCAAATACACAAATGAAGACATCGTGGGGGATACCGTGCTCTTGCTGCGGTACAACTGCCCCGATGAGTCCTGCGACTTTGCCGGCCTCGGATGGCCCGACCTCCACCGCCATGTCAAATCAGTCCATCGCAAACGAATGTGCGACCTGTGCACTCGCAACAAGAAGGTCTTCACGCACGAGCACGAGCTCTTTTCCGACAAGGAGCTGGAGAAACACATGCGACGCGGCGACGATAAGCCCGGCGCCGCCGACCAAACCGGCTTCAAGGGCCACCCCCTGTGTGGTTTCTGTGGCGAGCGCTTCTACGACGACGACAAGTTGTACGAGCATTGCCGCATGAAGCACGAGCGTTGCTTCATCTGCGACCGCCGCGATTCTCGACAACCGCACTATTACCTCGACTACAACGCCCTGGAAGAGCACTTCAAGAAGGACCACTACATTTGCTCCAACAGCGAGTGCCTGGAAAAGAAGTTTGTCGTGTTTGAGTCTGAAATGGACCTCCAGGCGCATAACCTCAAGGAACATGCCGGTAAAGCCGTAGGCAGAGACGCCAGGCTTGTCGACATGTCCTCCTTTGACATCAGACAGTCGTACCAAACCGAAAGACGCGGTGGCCACCGAGACGGCGAGGGACGAGG